AATATTATATAGGTATAAGAAGAATACAGGACTAAAACTGAAAAGAAAGAATAGATTAGGAAATCCAAATCCTTTTATATATTCAATATATTATTAATATTTAAGAAAAATAATTCAAATAATTAGTTTTGCAAAAACTATTATTGAATTAACAATAGAATAATCAAAGATATATACTCAATATCAAAAGTCCAGGAATTCAGAGATAAATTGAATAGAATTATAATCTATATGAAATTAGATCAAAAAAACATTTTCAATCTGATACAAATAAAAAAAGATTACAAATAAAAAACAATCTTCATTCTATTATTAGGTTTATAAGAATATATAATTATATTATTTGATCTAATCAATATATTAATTATATATCAATAATAGAATAACAAGATATTTAAAGAATTCAATTTATTTATAATCTATTATCTGGATGATTGTCACGATTTACGATTAAGATAAGGATATGTTGAGGGGCAGCAGTCAACGTGTCCACATGAGCTTAGGCCTTATCGAAAAGCAAGGCGATTCGTATACAAATTTGTATGGTAATCGCCTCATATGGTCTCCCCACCTTTAGCAAGCTCGGACATATAGTCTGATCCTAATCACGTGATAAGGAGCCCTAGGAGCTTCGAAAGCTCCTTTACATTCATTAGTATATAGTCAGAATAGTTTTATAGTTTAAGAGCTTCGTGCTCAACTTAGTTATCAATTAGTTTACCTACATTCCAATTGATCTAGTAACGTATTCACCTTCGAGTGGATAACCAGTGATTATTAGCCTTAACCTACAACTACCAACCATACGAAAACCTGAGGCAGCCGCTGCCTCGACCAGATCGTTACAATGATATTCTAATCTTCTTTTAAAGAAAGAAAGAATACAAAGAATATATATTGAAAGTATTCGAAATATTCAGAAAAATAGATTCAAAACTCAAACTATTGAAATACAAATTTGAAGTATGAAAAGTAATATTTTTAGGATATATTATTTAATTAAAACAAATAAATATAGATTTTAAAAAAACAAAGAAAATAAAGAATTGGAAATGATTCAAGAATATTAAGAATATATAATCTATATTAGGATTTGTTAATTTCTATCGAATATTAATAAAAGATTTCTTGAAAATAATGAAACCCTTTACCGAAATGATCAAAAAAGGGATAACTTTTATATAGAATGAAAAGGCAAAATAGATTTTCCAAAAAATCAAAGATAGATTTATAAAGAAACTCATTCTTTATAATTATTATAATAATCGAGAAAGTATTATCGAAATAAATATCTTTGATACCTATATAATAGAAATCTATTTGCAAAAAGATGATAATAGAAAATTATATTCTATTATTTATTATTCAAACAAAATAAACAAAACAAAACAAAATTATAATATTTATAAAAAAGAATTTATAGTTATAATAAAAATATTAAAATATTGAAGGATCTATTTCCAAAAGATTAAATTCTTAATAATCATTTATATTGATTATATAAATCTTTAAATCTTTATTACTATTAAGATCTTGAATAATTGTAAATTAATTAAATAGGTTGAAGAACTAACAATATTTGATTTGATAATCAAATATATCAAAAGAAAAAACAATACAAAAACAAATATTTTAAACAAATCATCAAATTACGAAGATAATAAAACCTATCAGAAAACAACGATTTTGAAATCCTTACCAAATAAAGATCTTATCCTTAATTTAACAAAGATCGTTATTATAGAAAATAAATCAATAAAGATCTGAAAGAATAAATTTATGAAAGTATAATAGAAGAAAGAAAGTATTAAATGATTAGAACTATTAATAATTATTGATAAATTATTTTGAATAAAGAATAAAATATAATTATTAAATAGTATCATTTCTAAATATATTACAAAATAATATATATTACCAATTTATAGATATCAAAAATACAAAAATATATCTAAAAATCAAAAGACAATATTGGAATCCAGGACTCTACAATATAATCAATAAAATAATCATCGAATATAATATTTATATTAGAAATAAAGCTTTTTGTTATACTTCATATAGATAAATAAATATCATCGAAATACTATCTATATTATGAAAATCAATATTATAGAATTTTATAGATTCATTATTAAAGTTCAAGAATTCAATAATAAAAATAATATATAATTATTTCTTCATTATAATAAATAGATTAACGAAATACCTAATATTTGTATTATACCAGATAATATTAACTACAAAAATACTAACCTTTATATTCCTGAAAAAGATCATTACAATATATAGATTATCAAAGGAAATACTCTTTAATAAAGATAAACTTTTTATATCGAAATTTTGAATTATTTTAATAATACTATTAAAAATAAAAAGAAAAATATTTATTGTATTCTATTTACAAATCAATAAAAAGAATGAAAAAATAAACCAAGTTATCAAAACTTATTTTTGATATTATATAAATTATCAACAAAACAATTAAATAGAACTTTTACTTTTAATATAATTTGTATACAATAATTCAACATTGGAAATGATACAAATCATTCTGAATTATATCAATTATGAATACGAATTGATTATATATTGTAAGTTAAGGATCATCAAGATAAAGAATCAATTTGTAATAATATAAATAAAAAGATTCAAAAAAATCTATAAGGAAATAATAACAAAATTGAAATTCATTATTGAAAGAAATATATATTATTATAATCGGAAATATAATTAGAAATCAATATTAAAAAAGAAAGATAAAATCTATTTATTTCGAAAAAACATCGAAATAAAAAAATTTAATATAAAATTGGATTATAAGAAACTCGGATTATTCAAAATCAAAAAAGTTAAAGGATCTTTGAATTATAAATTGATACTATCAAAAGATATGAATATATATCCAGTGTTCTATATATCCCTATTCGAATTAATATCCCCAAAAGTATCTAAAACTTTTGAAACAGAAATTATATCTATAAATCAAAATATCGAATACAAAATAGAAAAAATACTAGATTATAAATATATTAAAAACAAGATCAAATACTTGATGAAATAAAAAGATTATTTCGATTTCGAAAATATATAAGAATTTGAAAGAGAAATTAAATATCTAAAAAGGTTTTAGAAGTTTCATCGATAGAATCCGGATTTATTTAAAAAAAAAAAGAATTTATTGCTTTTTACAAAAAAGGATCGAAAAAATCGAAATCGTTTATAGGAATTTCGTTAGGATTGATAGGATCAATTGATAATTAATCAAATTGACCAAATTGATCAAATTAATCAAATTGATCAAATTGATCAGAGGGATCGAAGGGGATAACAAATATAAAGAATACAACAATTTCCTGTTTCTTTTCTTTTCTTTCTTTTTCTTCTAAAATATTAAGCTCATCTATAGAATTCAATTTAATAATAATTATCTTTTGTTTTTGTTTACAAAGAAACTTCTATTATTTACTAAAACAAAGAATTTTGAATATTATTTTAAATTGATATCAATAAAAAAGATCCTTTTCAATATCTATATACTCGATTTGAATATCAATAGTTTTCCAATCAAAAACGAAGAGTATTTTGTTCAACTTGTAAATATTGTATAATTTATTAAGAATAATACAATAATCATAACAACGATATTTAATATCACAAGAAGAAATGTATTCGATATCAATATTTTCATATCGAATATAAAGAGCCATCTTCTTCTCAATCAAATTAATTTCTTATCCAAAAGTTTTATAATCGATACAAAATTGAGAACGAACAAATAATATAATGAAGAAGAAATACTCGAAATAAACTATATAAGAAATAACGTTTTTTTTCAAATCTTATAAACGATCGAGGATAATACTTAATCAAGATAAAGATAATATTATAATTCATAATTTTTATTATAATAATATTATTGATATCGATGATTTATATATCGATTACAAAGAGAGTATAATTTAACTATTGCTTTCAGGAATCTTGGTAATTAAGCCTAGGACCCCAGGATTCCTAGAATAAGTATTTTAGACAATTATAATAGAATAAAACAAATATTCTATCTAATTAATTATAATAAGATTATCACCCTAAAGAATATTATATCCTAAAATTATAGTTCCTAAAGGGAAAGCTTCTGGGATAAATATTCCAGGAAAGAAAAGGTCTTGGGATATAAAAGACTTCAGGATCAATCATATGATATACTAGCTTTGCTAGCCCAGCTAGTCAAGCTAGTATTACAGGAATACTAGCCGTGCTAGCCCAGCTAGTATAACTAGCACAGGAAAAGAGATTAGTATATAATCAGAATAGTTTCATAATTTAGGAGCTTCGTATTCAACTTAGTTATCAATTAATTACCTATATTCCAATTGATCTAATAATGTATTCACCTTCAAATGGATAATCAGTGATTATTAGCCTTAACCTACAACTACCAACCATACGAAACCCTGAGGCAGCCGCTGCCTCCACCAGATCGTTACACTCACCTCACCTCACCCCACCTTACAAACTCAACTCAAATACAAAAAATCACAACCTTCCACTCAATCTTCCATTCAATCTTCCTCTAAGAATTAAAAATATATAAAAAATAATCTCCTTAGTAACTATTTACTCCCCTCATCCCCTCATCCCCTCATCCCCTCATCCCCTCATCCCTCATCCCTCATCCCTCCACCACAAACCCCACAAACCCACATCATATGCACAAGTTCATCCCTTCCCTTCCCCATCCATCCATCCATCCATCCATCCATCCTCCATCCAACCCCCATCCATCCATCCTACATCCATCCAGCATCCTTCATCCATTCAAAAAAAGTAATAACACATAAACGCCTTAATCCCTTCCCTTCCCTTCCCTTCCCTTCCTTTTCTTAGCTAGCTAACAAGCTATTCGCTCAACCCAGAGCCAAAACCAAAGCCAAGCAATGCCTTGCCTAGATTGCCTAGGCAAAATCTATAATAATATAATCTATAAAAAAATCCCAATAATTACTTATAAAAAAAAACCCCTTTTGTTTCATATGGAATCTTTTCAACTCATTCATCAATCAATCGTTCAATCCAACAAACACACAATTAAAAATTTCCTCTTTCACCAATCCATCCATATATACATACAAAATGAATAGAAAAATTGGTATCATAGTCTCCTAGAATTCTCTTCCCTAGGTGGTACCTCACCTCTTACATTCTCCCAACCTTTCTCTCCAATTCCAATTACTCCCTCCCTTAAAATTGTTAATTGTCTCACTCCGCAATATCCTCCCTTCCTGGCTACTCTCTCATAATCAACATAATGGCCCTCCTTCTCCCAATAACTCCTAGGTTTCGCTATCGCTCCTTCACTTGGTATCATCTGTCTTTTCGAATGCATAATTCTCGATGGTGGAGAAACTTTAGCACGAGATTTAAGTCCTCCAACTATAGCTGAGAAATATGATGATGATGCTGATGTTGTTTGAATAGAATTTAAACCTTGCCAGGTAGGATCTTCATCATCTAAATCCCTCTTTCCTTGACTTTTATTATTGGTAGAATTAGGAGCACTTCCATATTTTCCACCAAAATTCTTTTGTAAATCAATCATAGCTTGCTCTTGTTCTGGTGTGAATGCGTTGGGGATCCATAATCTATCATCAACAATATCCCCTTCCTTCTCCAGTCTCCTATCGTTGAACTTTGGTAGATGTGCGAAATGATTGATAATCGCTTGCCATGGAACAAATAATCGTTCAAACCTTTTGGCATATTTAATATTACTGAAAGATTTCGCATCATATGCTACTCTCACAAAAGGATTCATGAAAATTCCCTCACCCCAATCCTCATTAGTATTTGTAGTATAATCGGGGAAATCCGGTGTAGCGAGAATATCGGCATGAATGAGGCAACATTCAGAAGAATCCCAAAAGGATTCTGGTTCGGATCGAAATTTAAGTGGAAGTTCGGCGAGTGAGGTTGAATGTTCGTTTGAGTCTTTAGGTTTTTCGTCTTTCAAAGTCGAAGTGGCATTGACAAAATCCTTTTGAAAAAATCTAGCATCAAAAGCCACGATACCACCCCAACAACTCTTAACCCTGACTGCATCCTTGCCAGCCAAAACATCATTTCGACTAGTACTCTCTCCTTTTCCTGCAAACCATGGAAAGATTGGCACACCAATACTATAACCCTCAGTATCCCTTGTCGCATAGGTATCATAATATTTCCAACTCGTAATAAAATCGGCACCACAAACAGCCTTATACTCCGCCCTTCCCTCCTCATTAACATTCGTACCCCATAACAACCTCAATGCATCTTGCACCTCAAAAATCACATCATTCAAGAAGAGCACTCTCTCATATTTCTTTGTTAATTCCCCTGATGTAATAGGATCCAAAGCCTTATTCCTCACATCGGCCAAAAATTCAACTCTCTTCAAGCGTGTCTGTCCACTCGGTAACGTAACGCGATGTAAAGTAGAAAGATCAATAGCATCATCGGCTTCCGCTACCATCCTCTTTTCCACACCATGTAATCTCTCATTCAATCTCTTCAAAGAATCCTTAGGTCCACCATACACACTGACAAAAACCCTCTCCTTCCCAATTTCTTCGACCAACGCAACCAAATTATCACCCCATAAGCCATCGATGAGGTTCGGATCGACTATGTTTGCGGCAATGAATACTCTCTCATCGCTAGGTACCGAGAATTTAGGAGGATTCGTATAACTTGCATTGAAGATAATCTGCCAACATAAAAACAAGATGAAGAATAAAATGATGTATGTTGGTTTGCAGATTCTTCTCAAGGCTCTTAAAATTTTCGAAGCTAAGCGCCGCGAGGAAAGTGATTTGTCTCGGAAATCGTAAGTAACGTCGTTGGCATCGAGAGAGTTGCGTGGAAGACGATAGTATCGAGGGGAGGATGATCGAGCCATTGTAGAAATATATGCTTGATTCCCGTTAGGGATTCTTCTTATTCTTAAAGCAAATTCCCTCTCATCTGATTAATCTGCGGTATTATTGTCTTCGTATCGTTATTCCTTATTTCCTTTATCGTTCGTGCGACCAACGATGATCTTCTTCGTCGTCTTCGAAGTTCAAATGTTTGTATAGTTAAAAGAGTGGAAGAAATACCATATGACGATAAGAAAAATAGTACGGTAATTGAAGAGTTGAGAAGGATTGAATAGAAAAGAAGAGAGAAGAGTAGAGAGAGAAGAGAAAGAGAGAGAAAGTGAGGAATGTAATGAATAGACGGTAAAAGTATTCACAATTAAGAATCCATATAAAAAAAACAAGAGTGAAAAGAGTAAGTTTGTTTTTGTTTTTGTTTTTGTTTTTGTATTCTGTATGGCACAACAGATAGAAAGGTCGTAAAGTAATAAAGTGGTAAAGTTTATGAAAGTGTGAAATGATAAGGTTGAAGAAGGAGAAAGATAAAAGTTATGAATGACCTCGATTCATCCATCAAAAGTTCCAAAAGTTCAGGGTCGCCTATACGAAAACCCTCGACTAGTAATAAGGAGTAGGTTTGGAAGTATGGAAGTATGGAAGTATGGAAGTATGGAAGGATGGAAGGATGTAAGCATGTAAGCATGTAAGAATCTAAGAATCTAAGAATCTAAGAATCAAAGAATCAAAGAATCAAAGAATCAAAGAATCAATCCAAGAATCTAAGAATTAATCTAAGAATCTAAGAATCTAAGAATCTAACCATGTAAATATGTCAGAATCCAAGTATGTAACAAATACATCTGACTCCCCTGCGACATAGCCCCAGAATCCAAGCAATTTAGCGTCATTCAACCCTTCTAGCGCATCTTTGGTTTATCTAGTGTGTATTTAGCGTGTATTTAGCGTGTATTTAGTGTCTTTAATTGACGCGGCCATTCAAGAATCCGACCCCGATAACCCCGACAAAAGGGGGAATTATGACCATTCCAACAAGTTGTTCTTTAAATTCTCTCACTCCTCACCCATCTAAAAACGTTATATATCTTTTCAAGTCTTGCTAAATTGATATCTAATAAGCTGGTAGCTTTTATACATCTACTCGATCCATCCAATCACTCCAATCACACCAAACCAAGACCTGTACAAATCCAATTAAACCAAGGTATTAATTAATTAAATAAATCAAATTACAAACCAACAAATACGTCTAGTACGTCTAATACTTGGATAGCTCAATACAACACAACCAATCAATAACGGAGTATCCAATCCCATCAAACTCCAAGTGCAACCCCCGCAACCCAAAGAAACGGTTGATTGATTATTCCTTCGAATGGTTACCTAGCACGGTAGTGACGGTAGTGACAGTAGTGACAGTAGTGACAGTAGTGACAGTAGTGACAGTAGTGCGGCAGTACAGTAGTATTATACATATATAACCAAACATTTTCTATATCAAACAATCAATCACCATTCAACATCCATTCCATCCACATCACATCCCACCCCCTGTGATCCCTTCACACACATCCCTCCCTCACATCCCTTCCTTCCCTCCTTTCCTTTCCACGCTCCACTCCGCATTCGCATCCGCATCCATCCATCCATCCATCCATCCATCCATCCAACCCCTCCATAGTATTCCCTCCTCCAAATCCCTCACCTCAAACTTAATAATTCCTCGACGACCTATACCGACATACCGACCTATCTACCCACCTAGTACCTACCTAGTACCTACCTACCTACCTATCTACCTACCTAAATCAATCCATCAATCACTCTTCGCGGATTCCAAGTCCACATCGCATCACATCGCATCACACACCGTATCCCGTATACCTTCTCCTAAACGGTTCATACACCGCGCAACCGTTCACCGTACACCGTATATCGTATATCCACTTCCCACTTCCACTCCTACACTCGCCCCTAAAGTAGTCTATACCCCGACAAACTTTTCATTGGCAGACCCAGAAGTTTCCCAAGTTTCCCAAGCATTCATTACACACACACACAACACACAATACTTTGTAATTGTGATTGATAATTCGTTATTCGTAATTCATAATTCATAATTCATAATTCGTATTTCATTTTTCATTTTGATTCTAAACTACTCTAATACCAAAAGTACTAAAGCATCAAGAATTTAAGGATACTTGTACAATACAATGCAATGTTGTAAAATACCCCCTTGAAAGAACCACCATCCATCCACCCACCCACCACCAATGAATTACTGATTGCCTCAACAAATACCATTTCATTCATCCCTTCATCACCCATTCACCTCTGCATTATTTCCGCCGCCCATTTCAAAAAAAAAAGAGCAATTTCTCGAAATGAAACATAATTCGATGCAAGCAAGCAATTGTGTTGACGAGCTAAGAACCAAACCCAAAATTGGCCAACCCAGATAGGTACAGGACGGGTGCAGTAACGACGATGAGGAGTGCGGGCACGGCTACAAGCCTAATTATCATGTTAAGGGTACCGATCAGCTTGATGCGAGTCCAAATGGTTAAAAGACTTAGGGGTATCATGTAAAGAACAAGGAAAAGATCAAGTCCAAAGGAAGATGTCCTTACGTGTGACGTCCGCCACCACATAATTTTCTAATCAGTCCTCCAATCCAATCCACAAATACTACTTGGAAGAATGCTCGAAGGAAGTTGCGAGATTTGGCGTCATCTCCGGCCGAGCGCATAGAAGAAGGTGTGATGGATCTGTCAGGTGCACTAGATGTTGGTTGTTTACGAGCTCTTAGTTGAGAATCACCATTCTCCTCCGCGAACGAGGTGGTTTTGGCGGCACTCTCTTCAGAAACAGGATTTTTGACCTTTGCATTCACATTCTCAGCTGGAGTTGCCGGTTGGACCGTAATACTTGGACTATCCTTGCCGATTTCTGCATTAGGAGTAACCTGGGAGCTTTCAGCGAGATTAAGCGATCTGTTTTCGACAAAAGGTGTTAAGGGTAAAGCTGGTAGGACTGGATGAAGCTTGCTGGAAGCTTGGGCAAGCTTAATGGCTTGAGGCTGAGGCGATGAGCTTCGAGGAGTTGTGATGGTTGGGAGCTGAGATGGTTCTTGAGCAGCCTCGTCCGAAGTCTTGTCGTCGTTCACTTCACTCTTCTGATCACTTGAGTCGATCTTCTGTTCATCCGATATGTTACCATCACTTTGGGATTTTTCCACACTAGGCGGTAGAGCGGTCAGTTTGGATTCCGGTTCACCCTCCGCATTCTCTTCCACGATGGGAAGCAAAGATGGAGAGCTTTCTTGCGCAAGTGATCGAGGTGATGGTGTTACTAGATCGCCATTTGTATGATTATTGCCATTTGTAACAGGTGTAACGGGAGCTCCATCACGGTCTGTTTGGTCTTCGCTCAATTGATTTGAGAGTCTTCTCACATGTTGCAGTATCTGATTGAGATTGTTGGGAAATGGCTCAAGGCTAGGATCATTTGGATCAAACTCTTGAAACAAAGGTTCTGGGGCCGCCGATCGATTTTGAGCACTCTCGTACTCTAGCCGCTCTTCTGTGGTAGGAGGCCCATTGCACTCGTGTGCAAAAAGTGGCGCCCGCTCCTCAAATGGCGTTTCAATGTCCAAATCACGACCTAATTCACTGAAGCTTTGTAAGAGTGAATCCGGCTGAGGGCTTGGCAGGTCGATTGCATCGGGCTGCGAATGAGATTAGTGATCTATAAACTTACAGCACAAGCAGATATGCACAACTTACTTTATAATTTTCATCTATGAGAGCTGCAGAATCAGCAACCTCAGCAGCAGTGTCTGCGACTTCAGGAATCGGTGTATTCGAAAGACGTCTATAACCAATCTTACCAGCATCTTTATCAGACATGGGAGGAGTCGGTGGTGTTTCATCAAGTAATGCAGCAGAGTCTGCAACCTCAGCAGCAACGTTAGCAAGGTCTGGTGTAGTGGATTGCTGTCTGATGGTGACATGATCAGGTACGGCATCCTGGGCATGTAAATTATGTGCATCCTTTTGAGCAAATGTTGCGGTACTTCCGAAATCGTCGCCAAGGCGCGGTTCAGAATCAACCTTTTCGACAGTTACCGTGGGGGCCGATACAACTTCAGTTGAGATGTTGGACTGCTCGTCGTCCTTTGCAATGCTCTTGGTGCTGTCAACATGCTCATTGACTTCATCATGTTCCACAGCTTCCTGGTCATGACTTTCTCCGCTGGCAGACCTGATCTCATTATTTGGTTCTGGTAGTACGACCGCCTCATCAGCTGGTAGTTCGATTGTGGAGGTTCCGTCCACATTATTTGCTTTGGAGCTAACATCTTGTTGACTTGTACTGACAGAGGTGGTAACTTCGACTTCGGTTGGTTCCTCATTTACAATGGGTTCCGAGATCGTGTGCTCTTGTTTAGGTGTATCATCAGTTTTCTCTTCAACCACTTGTTCAGCCGAGCTAAGGCTTTCTGCGGCACCTTCAATGTTTTCGCCGGGGGTTGCGTTAGAAGTGGTAACCTCAGGGTTCTGGGATTCTTCCTTCTCGGGTTCCTCGGCTACATTTTCAGTGCTTTCATCGGCGAGCGGAGGATGTGAGATGGGAATTTCAGTGGTGCTTATCTCGGGCTCATGGGTGAGCTCTTTCTCCACCTTCGTGTCACTAACCGGCAAGCCAGTTTCTTCCTTTGCCTCACCCTTGCTAGCATGTTGTTCTGGCTTTGATGTTGGTTCTTCCATGTGAGTAAGCACAGTGTCTTCTTTTGCCTCACCCTCACTAGCATGTGGTTCTTGCTCCGATTCCGGTTCCTTGCTCGTAATATGGACAGGATCTTCTTGGTGTTCGACGACTTCATCCTTATTTGCAGCAGCCTCTTCTTTTACTTCACTCTCACCAACAGCTTGCTCTTCGTTCAAATCTGATTTTTCAGATGCCATTGGAATGGATTCTCCTGGTTTAACAGCTTCATCCTCCTTCAATTCAGTCTCGGCATGGAGTCCGTCATCGTCTTTATGTGTGACTTCTTCAGGTTCCAGCACATTGCTCTCGCTGGCAGTAGATTCCTTGGCTACCTCACTAGCTTCTTGAGTTGATGAATTTGGTTGCAAGTCATGAACCTCTGTGTTCTTCAGATTATCAGTTTCTGAATGAGCATGCGATTCTAACTTTTCAGGTTCATCAATTCCAGTAGTAGAAACTTCGAGCTCTTCGACTGGCACGCTTGACAGATCGAGCTTTTCCGCAGGAGGTTCACTTTCTGGCTCAACTGCTTGATCGACTTCAGCAACAGGTGTAGATGCGTCATGTGTCTCTCCAGCTTTTTCTGGCTTAACTTCGGCACCATGGTCCAACGTAGAGTCTGTTGCTAATGTATCTGCCTTTGGATGTGGGCTCTCAGAAAGCTTTTCCTCGGACTCAGTATGCTGAGTTGGCTCGATTACTGTTTCCATTGTTGAGGGCTTCGTGTCAAAATCAGGTATTGTGCGAGGAGTTGAATTTTCTTCCTGTGATTTTTCGTTGGAAGTGGATTTGGGTGGTGAAGGTTTGACAGGAACTGTGAGAAGATTATTCTGGTTCCCACCCTCATCGGTAACTGTGAAGGAAATTGAATATTAGCTAGATGCCTAAGATACTCTCTTTTTTTCCCCGATTGCAAGATTGAAATGAATCAGTGAATTGCAATTTCGCTTCCATATGGCAATCAAATGCAAACGAGATAGAAATTGGTGTGATTTGGGAGTATTGATCCAAGAAATATTGAAGATAATCAACCTACCAGTTGGTGCATCTTCGTCCGACATCCACCAATCCCCATTGCCAATCCTGAATTTATATTGATATTCTTTTCCCTCTTCCACCTCGACTGCCTTGGAGAATACATAATGATCCGAATCATTGGTATAATCCATTTCCTGGGGCTGCCATACTGATTCAGGAAACGAACCAGCAAGATATATCGGTGGGGCAGCTCCCGGCTTGGAATATTTGATGACAACCGAAGTCTTCGTGTCCGCCATTTCGTCCTAGTATTCTGCAAGCTGTCATTACCGGTGTTCAATAAAGATTTAACCTTTTTCGGATCTTAAGAAAGAGGAGTTACCACTGCTTTCAAGGGGTTTGAAGATAAGGAAGTATTGTGAGGGGCAGCGAAAAGGAATAGTCCGCGAAAGAATGAGTACAAGTAGACAGTTAAGTGAAATGACCATGGAGGATTCTTGACATTCTCGAAGTAAAGGATCTAGTGAGCAGAAAAGAAACGTACGGCAGGTTTGGAAACTGCCAGGATGCCAGAATGATTCACACGAATAAGAGAAGGAGCAGTGACGACATTAAATGTGTAACGGTAGGTAGGTACTAGGTAGATCGGTAGAGAGGGGAAGAAATGAAGGAATGAAGAAATGGGAAAGGAGGAAAGAAGGGAAGAAGGGAAGAACGGATAGAAATGTTAATAAGCTCGTACGTACCTGATTCTAACTGAAATAATCTCTTGAGACTGGACTGGATAAACACTTTCTCCAAGAACTCTTACCAAAGAATAGGAATGACTTTCAACGGGTTCTTGATAATACTGAGAAGCAAGTTGATTTTGATATTGACTTTGATACTTCACAACGATGCATGAATGGGGTGAGGTGAGGTAAAGTCTTGATAAGAGAGTCAAGAGTTATCCAGAAGCGTGTGGTCTTATAATTTTGATACGAGTATCGGTAAGTTGGCAAGGCTTATCAGTTCCTGGGCACTGATAGGACAATGCAGATATCAAATGAGATGATGGTGAGTCAGGAATCGGTGATCTGTAATCGGTGATCTGTGATCTGTGATCTGTAATCTTGTTGGATGAGCTATGAAGGGATCCTAAAGACGAGATGAAGTACAAAGAAACAATGATTTTACGAGGACAGTCCGGAGTATGAATTTGATGGTTGAGATTTAAAAGATTGGCAAAAAGTAAACACCCATCCATCCATGTCATGGCCACCCACATCGATCCATAAACACGCAACCCACAATAAACAATAACATCAATCCAGAATCCACCACTCCCACCACTTTTATAAATACTCCGTTAGATATGCACGTCCTCAACTCGTAACAAAACTTCCAACTGCCACTCTTCTTCCATTGGACACACAACGTTGGAAGGGAAAAGACCTGCATCACACAGCAAAAATATCCTTGGATTAGATGCACATGTTAACGAATAAGATGGATCGTCTCCACCTTCTATCTGTGCAACATTGTTGGCAGCCACATCATAGCTCACGCGCCACGAACAATCATTGGATTTGAGTATATGTAAAGAGAGAAATTCTCCAAAAAATGAGGATACAATGGTAGTCTGTATATGCACACCCTAGTAACTCTTTGAAAGAAGAAGAAGACAAAAGAAACGGCCAATGCTCGACCAGCCTTTGGAAGAATGAAAGAAAGATGTTGAATGGAGTGAAGTGTGAGAAGTGAAGTGAAGTGTGAGAAGTGAAGTGAAGTGAAGTGTGAGAAGTGAAGTGAAGTGTGAAGTGTGAAGTGTAGAGTGAAGTCGAGGTTGTAATAATGGAGTAAAGTGGTATGGTGAAATAATAAATTCACTCGTTGCGTTGTGGACACTTCCGTCCGGTAGAAGAAGATCTGGAGTATGATAGCCCACCATTAGCTCAACATCAAAAGTGGGGAAGGCAAGGATAGAGCTATGAAATATTTATGCTATGAACGCTTTGAATGCTGTGAATGCTGTGAATGGTTCGCTAATCACAGCCAACTGGAGCAATGACCGGAGCAGGCATGTGATATTTCAGCCTTATGATGCGAGGCCACAATTATTATTTTTTCTGGAGGCCCGTCCTGAGTAGTATAGGTTTTATATCGCAACTTTAGTATTCAGTCCAGCGTCTCAGCGCTCAGCATTCCAGCACTCCAGCATCGTACATTATAAGCAACCGCTATATCCTATTCTTTGATCCCCAATAGAGTCCAATTGCGATTATTTTGATATCCCTCTGGGTCCAGGTCGCATTCCAAGTTCGCTCAATCATGTCTCTGCCACCATCAGTTATTCATATCAAGAGGAAAGCCACGGATTTACCCCAGGACTTTCTTCGTGAGTCGAATAAGAACTTGATCTCCTCAAACAATCAACAGTCTAATCTTTATAGGTGTTGATGATGCTGTTACAAAACGACAACGTAGGACAACCGATTTTGTTTACTCCAGACAACAAACTCCACAAGTCGAAAGTACCCCTTCAACTCCTCAATCAGCTCCACCAGGACGACGCATTAAACCACTACATCGTTCTACAAGCTCTCGTTCTTTGGCTATCAGAACACAAGGAAAGAGTGAAGGGAATGGAAATATTGAACCAATAAATGAAATTAATAACGAAAATCAAGTCCTCAAAACTCAACCTCCGCTGGCCAATATTACTACAAAACAAAATGCAGAAGTAGACCATTCCCCAGGTGGCGTTCGACCTTCAAGTAGTGGGCGTCCATCGAGTAGTGGAAGTACGAAGAAACCAGTTCAGCAGAGACGATTTCATCTATCGAGAAGTGCAACACCGGCAATATCTGCAAGTCCAGGCGTACGAAAGCGCAATGCTACCGTTTTCATTGAACGTCGTGTGCGACAAAAGACACAGGAAGAGAGATGGACATCTGTGGCCAACGCTGCTATTGAATCAGAGAATATTGCTACCGAAAAACAAGAACAGGAGGAAAAGCCTCGAAAAAAGCCAGGCCGAGGTTCGAGAGTGCAAGTAGCATCTACAAAAGACAAGAAAGATGCCAAGGAAATCATTGCACCTCAGTCAAAACCACCTTCCGCGTTAGTCAATCCTTGGGGTCTTGATACAGATGATTTAGCTGCACAGATGCAAGCTTATACACTACAAGAAATTGGTCGTAGTATTGCAGAATCCAAGGCAGAAGAACCTACACCATCTTCACCAGTCCAATCTTTCCGCAAACCAGCATCATCTAGATTCAAGCCAAAGAAACCGGCTTTGCGCTACAAGGAACGTCATCCAGAGGAAAATGCTATGGATGTTGACCAGGATCAAATGTCTGGAGTTGAGACTGAAGACGATATGGATACGGATACAGAATATATCATTGAGACATATCATCGTGTTCCTGCTGAAGATATCGATAATGAAGATAACAAGATCAATTTCGGTATCCTCGTACTTGATGCACAATCAGACATTGATGAATTTTATCAAGAATGGGATACAGATGAGGAGGTAGAAGATGAAGCAGAAGAAGATGAGAATGGTTCGTATTTCTTTTTGAATCCCTTTAATCCTTGACCCTTCTTAGACATGATATTAACCTATACCAAAGATGAAAATTACTACACAGCCGATTACCCGGATGCAGAGGTCGATTCGGATGATGAGTATAATAGAAATGCATATGCATATCGTACACGCAATGCGTCGGATCTTGAAGAGTTTGATGAGGATGATAGTGAACAAGATGAAATGGGGTTCAGTGATGATGAAACTGATAAGTTAAAATATCCATGGCAAAAAGTTACGGCACATGAACGAAGGAATCAAATGAATCGATATGCGAGTGGAGATGATGATGATGAAGATATGGAGTAAAAGTACGATGAGAGGCTGGTTCCAAGGGGGTTAATAGGTGGTTGTGAGTTTTGAAGGAGATGTAATAGGATATATGAAATAGAGTTGATTTTATACTGTATGCTGGTATTTACTCTATACTTATTTCATAGTCTACTTTTTAATAGTGAAAGAATAATAATAAGAGAGAAAGACTATTTATCTACTGATCATTAAGTATATCAAAATAAAGAAACTTAGGATATAAAATATATATAATAATATAAGTCTAGTACTTCAGCCATCTCTAATTCCGGTCACTCTTTTATATAAAAAAATCATGGTTTTCATCTATTGATAACTTTACAAACAATTAATAGAATTTGATGAAATTTGAATGATATATTCAATATATAGTTGTAAATAAATATTGAAAATTTTAGATTTTTTCAAATCGATTTCGTCGAGATTTATAAATTTAAGTTTTTTGATTTTCAATTTATAAAATTTATATATAAATTTGAAAAATTATTAAAATCTTTTAATAACTCTTTAACAAAAATAATAAAAATTAAAATATAAATCTTTTTCAAATGTTTATATTATAGATGATAAAATAAATTAATTTATTTTAAAAAATAATTTACAGAAATCTTTTTAATAAAAATATTGAGATTTTTAATCTTTGTAAAAATTAAAATATAAATAAATTTTTTATATAATTTAAAATTTAAAATTATAACCTATTATATAATATTTGATTTGAATATCTCAAAAAGATTTATAATTTATTTTTAGTAATTTTTGTTGAAAAGTTATTCAATTTTTTTAAGTTTTTCAGATTTGTATATAAATTCTATATAAATCAAAAAATCACAATTTGAATTTTTAATTATTCAATTAGTAAAATCGTGAAAACTTCACAATCTACTAATATTTATATAATAATATCGTAATTAAAATTTCAATTGATTTAATCTATTCATTGTTGAATTATTAATAATTGAAAATCGTCATTTTTGGTGTAAAAGGGTGGTCCAAAAGTAGGGTACTAGACTTGGGTACTTGATGGATGTTTTATAGAAAGTAAGAAGTGGTAAGATATAGTCTGATCGGGTTTATTTTGTAATGGAGTTGAGGGAGCTTTCATAACGCTTGCCTGGTCCGCAGTTGTAGGTTCCAAAAATGATATTTATGAATGTTTTCGTCAGGTTAAAGGGTCAATATTCGAGGTTTGTCTTGAGACTTGCGTGTCACATCTCATGAGCCACTATTAGCATGGGTGGAATCCACGATGTTTGAATTGGGGTACGATATACCCCATTGGATTGCGTTGAGGTATGTTTTTTTGCGTGAATTGCTCAAGGTTAATCTGCTCGATCTATTAACACTTTGTAAGTCTTACCCTGTACAAAAAGTACTTATTATGTGCAGAGATTTGGACCATCAATTTCCTTGGGATACGACTCGGATGAATTAGTGGTTATTCTAAGCTGCAGTTTAACAATAACAAGTTTTTGATTCCAAATCTGTTGACATGATTGACGGTACGTCAATTATTGAATCAATGTTAAAGAATCAAAACATCTTCAAAGACCTACAGCTTGAGCATCAATGAAAATGGAATGTTCTCCAATCTACATCCAAACTCCAAGGAACAAACTTGCTCAACCGGGAATAGTATCCGAGACGAAGTTTTCGAATATAATAGGTATAGGTGCACACAGGGAAGTTGCACTAAAGTGATGATACGGCTCCTAATTATAATAAAAATATTTAGTAATACAACGTGAAAGATATTTGGATGAGTATAATGTGGGGAGAATGATGGGGGAGGATTTGAGCGGTGCATGGCGAGAGATCCTGCGAGCGAGGTATGTTGTAGCTGGATATGTGGATGGAAAGCCGGAGAAGGGGTTTGAAGAAGTGGTAATATGGTAATGTGAATGGGACGAACTGGGCATGGAAATTGAAGCAGAGATGGAGTAATCGCTCACTTGCTTCAATATGTGATTGTATGGATTAAGTTGCTTATTCATTCACCTGTGTTTACTAAACTTTTGTGGTGAAAATTCTGTGGTGAGAACTTCGTAGTAAGAAGTTCATAGCAAGAACTTCACAATAAAAACTTTATAGTAAGAATATCATATAAATATAAATGAAAACCTTCCCTACCCTACTAAACCCATTCCATTCCACTTTCCCATGAATGGAATCATGAAATATGTATGGACCGCTATATATGACAATCCAATCTACTACATCGCCTTTCGGTGATTCTTCAACCCCTTCACTCCTTCATCTCGCCCGCTCGTCTTGCTTCTCCTTACACCTGCCCCAATCTCTATCTCATCTTCCATCATCCCGCATCCCCCATCTCCAGATATCCTCACTACACGACTAATAGGTATATTAGATACATAGTCCACCAGTCCCAATCGATATCATCGCATCAACTCGACAAGCACAAATGCCAACTCGATAAATTAGGGTTCAGATAGCCGTTGAAATGGAGTATAATATATCGAAAGATAATGAGATATCCACTTATCTCTAGAAAATTACTCGTAATCTTGCTATGGTTTTAAGGGTGTGTATGTTTTTGAAACAAGAGGAACCGCAATGCATAGTAAACACAATGAGTAAAAGTAGAAAAACAAAACAGAACAGAACAAACAATCTCATATCCCCCAGACGTCAAGAATGCGTAAATGGAAGAAGATGAATAAAGGTGGAGGTTTTCATAACTACTAGGTACTATGTAACTGCTATTTGAGCGTGAAAGTGGGATGGGTGGTGAAATTCATTCGACCTGAGGTGAGACCAAAATTGTGCATTTACATCTACACTGGAATGCATTAAGAGGATTAAAAATTTGCTCAGAAACAAATACTTAGTGAAGATAGACAGCTTGACTTCAAGAATAAACTGGTATGTGAAAATTAAATATCGAGCCTGCACACTATGCTAATCGCTCCCATAATTGATATCATCCCGGACTCCTTTTTTGACTATTAAACCCCTCCGAATGCATAAAGTCATGGTTTCCGTATGGATTGTTTTCATAGATGTACGTCTCCAATATCCCTTCTGTTATCCCCTACTATCTCTTCTTATTCCATGCATTGACAAATGCAATCTTATCCTTAACGGTCAATCCTACACGTTTAACTCGTCCCAGTCGTGCCAAGGCTTCTCCAACTTTGTCCAAAACACGCTGTTCCTCTGTTGTTGTTTCCGCGAATTGATCGTTTTTAGATGTTAGACTATCAGTGCTGCTGGTGTGGGCAATGTCCTCGTTCGTACTATCGAGCAGATTTTTCAGGTATTTACTATCCTTCTTTTCCGAGACTCCATCGAGCTTGGAGGTGTTGTATACAACCTCAGCGATTCGGACTTTAATACAGTGAGTAGGTTTCGAGAGAAGATTCCAGAAAAATGACCAGTACTTTCCCGGAATGGGTGTGGTAATATCTGATGGCGAGTATCGTAGACTTATTGGAAAGATTTTGGTTCCTGAGGGAGCTGTCAAAAGACTTGGGCTCACGGGCAATATTCCTTTTCCATTTGTGGTTGTGCATTCCGGGAAAACTACTATGGCTCTTCCGGGGTAGCGATTGAGTAGAGCGGTTAAATTCGTCATTTTCGCGCCTTTCGGTGGATATTCTTGAGGACTTTGGAGAGCGCGAAAGATTGCGCCAAGGAGGGAAATTTGATGGACTTGATGGGTATGCGGGTAAGATACTGTGAATATAGGATCGAAGATGGCAGCCAGATATAAAGAATCGAGAGGTGAGGTAAAAGAAGATGCGATAATATCCGAAGGTTCAGGTACCCTTCCTTCATGTTTCTTTGCCAATGAACCTTTCTTTACCCCATCAATCTGCAGATCTATCCACCACACTCCCGGTATCCCAAGTATCATCCATAATATTGCTTTTTTGAGTAGTGACCCCAATGGAAACCATTGTAGGAAGAGAAAATACGTCGTGGATACTGTGAGGAAGAATGGTAATTTGAATAGGAAGAGGAAAAGGTGGACAGGCGCATATATGCCGGCACCTGGGGTTTGGACGGGGAAGAACGGAGCGATTCCAGATCCTGGTGATTGATGCATTAGTTGAGACCGTCTATATTAGTAGATGTTATGTGGGATGTAGTACTTACCTCTGTCACGAAACTGCGAATATTTTTCCATTGTGAATGATTTTTATGTACTGAAAGGTTGGACGAAGAAGGATTTTATGCGGGGATACTATAATATCATGACCGTATTGATAAATTAGCGACACAATTATAAGAAATTATATATTCCAAGTCGGTATACTAAGAAAATTGTAGTTGTAAGCTGTATCGTATGTCTTTTTATAATTTTGGGAAAATAATTAAATTTATATGTGATAAAAATACTTTGGTGGGCAGAAAGTAGAGGTAGTATGTATTAGATAATTATGTGCATCTACCTTTTGACACGTGAAGATGACATCCCTCAGATGTGCATAATAGTGTTCATAGAATTGTGCATTTTCTTGTTATCGGATCTCTTAGTCATCAACCTTCTCCCCGGCAACCAAAGCTTAATTGAATACTTGAAAGAATAAACAGAACAAGCTTTGAAAAAACGACCAAAATATTACATTTTATCAATCAACAACAACGACAACTCGCCCTTCGACGCGCTACTAACTATTCACCTCTTCTTATATTTGCATGTCCTATTCATTTTAATATTGTGTAGCATTTGCTACTTCTTGTAATGGAATACCAAGAAGAAAACGAAAACCAGGTATGAATTTTATGTCAATAAACAAATCCTTGGATGGACAACTGATCAGGAACTTTCCTCATTAAATAGTATCAGCGCACGTCGCAAGCCAAACTTACAATGAGTGCCATTCCTTCTCTAGGAAAGCCTCTAGCAGAAATCACAGACTCTCATGGCAATGTCCGATCACGACTCCCCTCGAAGATGCCGCAACCAACAACTTTGAAGCGTCAAAGTGACAAGTCAAACAATGAACCGGCACCTAAACGCAAGACTCTTGCTGAAAGAGCTGGAGAACCTGTAACTACAATGACTCGAACACCATCTGTACGGAAGCCATCAGTGAAGGGTACTTCTATAGTAGACGTGAGTCTGGCTTCGTCTTAATCGGAAACATTCATTGACACATAGCAGATCAAGAACAGTTTCTCTCAACCACGAAATACGTCCTATGCTTCTTCAGTGTCATCCCGAACACCTTCAGTATCTTCGCGTCACACATCAAGTAGCAGTTTCTCACAAAGTGTCGGACCTGGAAGACCAAGGTCAGCTTACGGCTCACGCCCACCCTCGTACAGTCAATCTACAACATCAAGGCCAAATACATCTCAATCCAAGGGTCAGCCCAACGCCTCGAAGGACTCAACATCTTCAGATGATGACGGTATGCCACCCCCAGGAGGAAGACGAAAGCCTATGCTCCCAGTACCTGTTACATCTTTCAATCAATTCAATGGGGACTCCGGTTTGGAAGTCATGAAAGTCAGAGATCATCATTCAATCAATTCAATGAGATCTCCACGCTCCGAGGAAAACCTACGTGATCTATCCGTTAGTACGGCATTGAGTAGGCTTCACATCAATGACGAGCAGACTAATCCATCCGCGGAATATGACCTGATTTCATCTCCAAGGAAGCCTTTTCGCCTTCGACACAAATTTTCCCAAAGCGTAGGAGCTCGGAGTATGAGAGTAGACAATGAAGAAGCCGCACTTGTTCTATATCAGGCACCGGATTATAGCTCAGTAGCTCCGAAGACGCCTTCTCAAATCCCTGTCCTTGCTAAGTCGGAATTTCTCACTTCTACACCTGTTACTCCTTGCAAAAATTCCAAATTTTCCCCTAAGAAAACTCCATATTTATCAAAAGATTCTAATGTTCCTGCTTTGGTAGCGTTTGATGTACGTGGTCGTCTCGAATCAATGGAAGTAATGTATGCCAGGCTCGCGTCAACAGTCGATGGCACAGGCAAAGATCATGATGCACTTAGAAATGCAGTCAGTGAATACAAATCTAAACGCAAGTAGCATTTCGAATCTATGGATTGAATACTGGCTAATCTGTTCCTATATGACAGTCGACGAACTTGAAGGGCTCCGAACACATCTTTCGTCTTCCAACCAGACCCTCCAAGCTAACCTAGATGATACAACCCAGAGGCTAAACATGATACAGCAGAAATTACTCGAAACGACAAACACCCTGGATGACAACATTCGAGCGCACCGCCTCGAGTTGGACGACGTGAATCGAAACCATCGCAACGAGACTGATAAAATGAGACGTGACAACATAGATGAGATTGACCGAATCATTCGTACTCACAGAAATGATATGCTTGAGCAAGAACGAAAGGCAGCTATCGAACTTGACGACCGAGTCCGAATTCTTGAGCGCCAAAACGATGTAAAATTGGAGGAGGAGAGAAATCGAAGATTACGCGAGGTTGAAGAGCTCGAAAGCCAAGTTTTCACGGGACACCAAGGCCTAAACCTTGCGTTGCAGATGAAGGAGCAAGAGCTCCAGACTCTAAAAATGGAGCTTGAAGTGTTGAAGGCAAATCTTGATCGAGAAAAAGAGTTGAAGGAAAATGCTCTAAACACTATCAAGGAGGTGCAGCAAACCATGCAAAAGACTGGCGTGGAAACATCGGCAACAATTGGTACACTGGAAAGCACGGTTGCCAGTCTCCGCGCAAGAATTCACTTTTTGGAGTCCGGAAGTAAAGCACAGTCCGATAGTTTTGTTGAGATGGAGGGTAGACTTCAGGAAGCTCTCAATTCGGCAGAGGAGTCCAAAAAGAAATTAATCAAGGAAGAGACCCTTCGTCGCATCCTTTTCAACCAAGTGCAGGAATTGAAAGGAAACATTCGAGTCATGTGCAGAGTACGACCGACATTTAAGGAGGGTGCGGACGGTGAATGCGCAAAAATCTCATTTCCGGACACTGATAAAGAGTCAAAGGAGTTAACAATTATTGGCAAGGAGAAGAAGAGCAATTTTGGAAAGGTCTCAACAGAAACTCATGCATTCTCCTTCGACAGAGTGTTTGGACCAACAAGTCAAAACCAAGAGGTTTTTGAGGAAATTTCTCAATTAATCCAAAGTGCTTTGGATGGATACAACGTTTGCATATTTGCCTATGGTCAGACAGGTGCTGGAAAAACACACACAATGTCATCTGCCGATGGTATGATTCCTAGGGCCACTCATCAGATCTATGAGACCGCTGAATGTCTCAAGGAGAAAGGATGGACTTATACGATGGAAGGTAGCTTTGTTGAAGTCTACAACGAAGAGATCCATGATTTGCTCGGAAGCTCTAAAGACCTCGACAAAAAGAAACACGAGGTTCGCCACGATGATAAGAAGAAGCAAACCACCGTTACTGGATTAGAGACAGTGCTTTTGGATTCACCAAATGCTGTGGAATCAATTCTCAAGCAGGCAGACAAAAACCGTAGCGTTGCTGCCACTAAATCTAACGAAAGATCATCGCGATCACATTCCGTCTTTATCTTGAAACTTGTTGGACGAAATAGCTCTACAAACGAGACCTCCGAAGGCACTCTCAACTTAGTAGATTTGGCTGGTTCCGAAAGACTCAAGGCATCTGGTGCTGAAGGAGATCGAATGAAGGAGACTCAGAATATCAATAAGAGTTTGAGTTGTCTAGGTGATGTTATTGGAGCGTTGGGATCAGGAAAAGAGGGAGCACATATTCCCTATCGGAATTCGAAGTTGACCTATCTCTTACAATATTCTCTTGGAGGTAATTCAAAGACACTCATGTTCGTCATGGCAAGTCCATTGGAAGCTCACTTGGGCGAAACTTTGACGAGTTTAAAATTTGCGACAAAGGTAAGCCTCTACACATCCCATATAATCTTCAAAAACTAACAACTATACCAGGTTCATAACACACATATCGGCACAGCTAAGAAGTCAACTAAAGTCCGAGATTAAGTAATTGTGTAACGTGAGAACATTACAATTGCAAAAGATACCACTGATTTTGCGTTTCTGTTTTTGTGGCGTTTCATTTTGCATACTTGGTAGAGGATAACTACTAGGAGCCATAGGACAAATGCTCATTTCCATATGGCTTGGAGCGTAATTGGGGTCTGGCGTTACTTTTGGTTGATGGCGTGATGTAGATGGATAGGATGGAGAGGGGCTTTTTCCTGTCTGAGTTGTATACTTCTTTGGTGTTTGGTTCATGAATGAATGAGTGAAATGGTGAAGGGAGACGCAGGTGGATATGGAGGTGAATTGTATTTCAAATCTGCATATATTCTTGAGAGAAGTTGAGTGCTATGACGTAGAACAAAAGAAATTTTACTATGATTATGACTGACCGGTTTCTTTTCGACTGTTGGATTTTGAATATTCATTGACACGTGAGTGAGTGGTTTGTTTCTTGGATTGGTTTTCACTTCAATGTTTTCTATGTTAAAAGTGTGGATATATCAGTCATGGAATAAGATACATGATTCATTGATCGCATCTATAATACAATACCTTCATTCTTTAACCAACATCCCTACATCTTGCACGACTCTACATCTTGTATACATTTTATAATCTCAAAAATTATCAATTATATAAATTAAACTATTGTTAATTGTCGGCTTGCCGACACTATAACCTTGCTGTACGCGAAGTTTACTGAATGTAGGTTATAGAAAATAAAAAACTCGTTTAAGTGAATCGCGATCCTGATAATCTGATTGGTTTAAAATACCCCAGTAAATAAATCTAACAAAAAGCTTGGCATAAGCCTTATAACCTCAGACAAATCTGATTTGAAACTTTTTTCAACTTTATTAAAATCATTTAACTTTATTCATTTAATTTATCTCATTCAATTTAGAATAATAATAATAATAATAATAATAATAATAATAATAATAATATAAATAAATAATATAAATAATAATATTATAAATATTATAATTAATTTTTTTTTTAAAAAAACTTAATTTTTAATTATCAAAAACAAGTCAATATTCTGCCTGTACTTTAATATATATTTAATATTTAAATTTTAAATTTTCATTAAACTTTCTCGAAAAGCCAGAGGTTCAGGGGGCGCAGGCCACTGGTAATAATATTTTATTATTATTATTATTATTATTATTATTATTATTATTATTATTAGTTGAATAAGTTCAATTAAATAAATAAATTTAAATTAAATGATTTCAATAAAGTTAAAAAAAGTTCTAAGTTAGATTTGTCTGAGGTTATAAAACTTATGCCAAGCTTTTTATTATATTATTTACTAGGGTATTTACCAGAGTATTTTAGACCAATCAGATTGTCAGGATCGCGACTTACTTAAGCGAGTTTCTTATTTTCTATTACTTATTAAGTAAACCTTGTATACAGCAAGGTTATAGTGTCGGCAAGTTGACAATAAAGATGTCGCTTATTCATTTCTAATATCAATATTATAACAATTTGAAAGTAGCAGTGTAATTTAAGAGTATATAATATACCGAATGTTATAGCTCAAGGGTTATAGGTTGTGTTAGAGTGGTAAGAGGGGATGAATGAGAGGAGATATTAATGATGTAAATAAGATAAGGATAGATGGCAGTAATAAATAATGAGTATTAGATAATAATACACAGGAAATATATGTGTGGTTTTGAAAATTGAGATAGATGTATCTTCTACTGTGTTTTCTGAGGTAAGCAGGCAAGCAGGCAGTTTGAGTTTTGGTATTAGCTGCTGGTTTGGATTGTGTTTGTGCTTATGTTTAGTCTGGATGTGGATGTGAAGATATTGCTTGTTATTTGCTGGTTATGGTTATGGGCATAATGATATGCCTGTCTTTCCATGTATAAACTGCCCAATGAACATCCAACCCCAACTCCTTTTCTAAGAAGAAAGTGAGGAATGAGAAACAACAAGCATACTTTCTTCATGTTGGAGGAAGGACGAGAGAGGTGCTTAGGAGATACTAGAGTAGGGAGAAGAATGCGCGTGATGCAAAAATAGTTCCACAGCACCTCCTCACATTAATGAGTCCACGGACTTTCATCGATTTGTGTTGCGATGAATAACATAGATTAGGTACTGAAGTTTTTACACACCAATCGTGTTCTAGCTAGTCGTAGATGGATACTAAACAGCAGACTATACATAGACATGGAGAATATCATCAGGTTTGAATAATAGAATGAATCGTAAGATATCTGAGCGAATGCTACCAAGCGATCAACGCTTCATGGGCACTTGCGAAAAAGTTGACTCGACGAATATAATTATCTGTGCTCCTGGCAAATATGTCAGTTTCTCAACGTTACATTAGAAAGTGCCAAAGCAGTCAAAAGAAATTTTTCACCCCAAACAGTATAAGAACCTCATTACCACTAAGCAATACGTCGAAAGATCAATGACTCGAAACTTTGAATCATTGCTTACGGCATATAGCATCTTTTCCACAACGCAAAGTTCCAGCAAATAATGATGATTGATATTCATCATCCCAAGAGCTTTCCAGACACAAGTGCTCATTATACTTTCCACATTTCGAGCTGTCTGCTCAATTTCAAGGATCTGGGTGGAAAGCAGGATCAACATTTCACCGTACTTCGGGCCCAAACTGCCAGAAAAGAGTTACAGCAGCTCCTTTATTTCTCCAGCTTTTAGTCTTTGATTTGACACTTCCATTTGGGATGGGCTCTTTATATAAAGCAGAGCTAGATCACAATAAAGTATAATATAAAGTTTTTATTAGATTATATATTAAATTATATAAATATATGATTATTATACTTTTGTTAATATAATTAATTAATAAATACTTAATAATCACTGAAAATAAAAAATTTCAAGAATGAAAACAACGACGAAGATCAATCGATCTCAATATAATGTCAATTTACTCCAAGACAAACTAGAATACATACAAAAGCCAAAATTTTGCTTTACATTTGAATTATATAACAATAAAAAGCTCAACCCTACAAGTTCCCTTCCTTGATATCGTCGTTGACTTCATCAGGAAAATTCAGATGTAGGTATAGACGTCTGGGTTCTAGAAGCCTCAAGAATAATGCCAAGGTCATACTAGAAATTAATTACCTGCACGGCATCATATCGGTTATAAGATGATTGACATATTGATCTTCGGGGATAAAAATACTTCGCGGGATAATATTCCCCATAATTACCCCAAGATCTACAAGAACGACACGCACATCAGAAGCACAAACATCACCGGACATGAATCTGGAACTTTCTTGTAGATTCTTCTCCTGTTCAGTACAAAGCGTTTATATAAGTATTTGAAATGATCGGAGATGCCAATATCTGTTGTCATGTGGCGGCGCGTTTTCGTTTAGTTCGTTTAGTTCGTTTACTTCCTGGAGTAAAGTTGGCAGAAACGACGAACGATAGGAAAGTGGATTATCATAGTCGTTAAACTATCCATTGTATTAAACCATACCCCTGAAGGTATGAAAAGCCATTCAACTATTAACTATAAACATTTCTGTGCTAGCCTCGTTTCCTACGATCTCATCGGAAGTCAAAATTTGAATATCTTTAGTTAGGTAGAAATAGTGAGGGATGAAATTTGAGCACCTACTAAGTGTAAATAATAGTTGTATCGTGTTACGAGATATCTGGCCACGAAACTAAAAGTAAACCATCAATACTTCAACGCACTATTATGGATTTCCCGAACCGCTGCTGGAACTTGTGACTTTTGGCTCATTATTTACTTTTTACACTTGCGAAAAGTCCACATACTCCATGCCGTCCGCCAAATTAGTCTCAAGCGTGAACGTGAAGCAGTAATGAGGCGTGCGTCAAAAACGTGGCGACCAGGGGGAAATCAATCAAATCTGGGTAGATCGTTTATTTCTGTAAGCCTTGTCGAAATTACTATGTTGATTGTTTTCATTAATGACTCGTAGCAAGATATTGACCGTGCCGTGTTTTGTGTTGAGTTAGCGCATAGATTTGCGGTCTCTAGTTCACAGGCTAAAATCTAGTTAAAGACTGGGTGCAGCACTTAATTTCAAAAGATTTACGATGTGCCAATCTTGTATCACGGCCCTCCTACTGATTTGAGAATTGTTGTAAGATTTCACTGTCTACTCTCGGTTGTATCCTTCCAGCTATGGATAAAGTTAAAAGCTAACAAGTCAAAATTGTAACTAAGAGCCATGAAATAATGATACGCAAATAGTGTCAAAAGATGCCGGAGAGTTTGGCAGCTTTCCATAATTCTTGGTTGCTGTAGTTCATTCTATACAGTTAATTTGTGAGTTCGGTGCGAGTGGCAAGATGATCTTCGGCGATCAACATGAAGTGAATATGATAGATAATGATATAAAGTTATACGATGCCTAAATACAGTAATGTGATTTTCCGTCATCACTTGATAGGTGAGAAAAAGATATGTTTTCTTCGAAATGTTTGGTGCATGCTTCCTTTAAAAACAAGTTTGTCCTACAATGCAGAGATAGTGCTGAAGGATGAGAGAAAGGTGGTGGGAGCTTACATACTATGTTTCGCTGTGGATATTTCGTGGATCGAACGAATATGGTAATGTTTTTAAATGCAAGAGCTTTCGAGCATTGAGTACATGAAGGCTATATGCTTAATACCACGAAAGTGTATCAAACAAGAAGGAAGAATTTCACAAGCCGAGGAATTTTTAAACTAATGATATTTCCTCGGCTCGTGGCCACATTGACCATGGTCTTGTCGCTGACAAATTTATTCAAAGAAAATATTGTTGAAGGATGCAAGTAATTGGAGATGAAGATTCATAATCCTAGGATATTCTCATGCATACTCCTCTGCTAAAATGTAACTCCAGCGTGGGGTATAAACCCCGCTATTTGCTTTTTGCGTCGTCATCAGATAGATAACAAGTAGACAGAATCATAGATTCATAGGGTGATATTGATACGAACCGAACGAAGATTCTTATTGAGGCTGGTTGCATCGTATCCTGTTCTCGATGAGGTTGCAGGTCCCACGCCAATTCAGCATGAATGACTACGGGATGCAGTGAAGTGCTTGCAACCTCGATGGTGGTGTTAACCATGGGTAAAAATTGAGTGAAGCTGATGGAGTCATAAGAGACAAAGCTAGAGAATATGCATTGCTTGAAATTGGGATAAAATTATAATCATGATCATATGATGGCTGAATGTTGCGTTTGCACGTCGAGAGAGCTCGCCATCGCCAAAAACTCATGAAAAAATCAACAGAAATTACATTTTAGAATAACGGATCTTGTAAGGAACTCTAGCATGATGCAGCAACTTTTGAAGAAGAAAAAGTATATATAAAATAAACATTCATGACGGTGGTGCTTGAAGGACTTCAATAGGGCTACCCCTCAGGTTGTCCAGGTTAGTCTGGCTGGTATCGGTATTTTTGAAGATTATCCTTCACATCCAAACCTCCATGGGCCGATTTAGACCGACCCCTCGTTCAAATCATCATAAGAGTTCAATCCACTTGAAGCAATATGGAACATCTGGTTATGAATCTTTTGTGGTTTGAGACTATGGCATACATTTGTCAAAAACAAATCAGCACGTTGAGGCTCGTCAGCGGGCCACTGAACCTAGCCATCGGGGCATCCTCTTCTTAAAGGGATGCATTTTCCCTATGTGTGAGATATATAAATCATTAACGATCCAGCGTAAAGTCCTGATGTTAGCCAGGGAAATCAGGCAGAAACCATGAACGGAGCATTACGATCGCGTGGAAACTATGATTGATGACTGCAGCAATTCTTACTGAAATTTATGCAAAGATTACTAAGGTTAGAAATATTCTCTGGTATCCATTGGGTGGTCCCCCTGGATGTTGCAAATGGTGAACGCTCCTGGATATGGCCTCCACGAGACCAAGCAAACCACTACATGTTTCTAGTTATGAGCGATGGTGAAAACAAGCTACGCAGTAATCTTTCAATGCCTCCTTACTACCATTCACATGAGTCTTGGACATCGGAGAGAATCGTTGATGGTCAATTATCTACCCGTTCCAAGGTATAGTTTCAAAAATCGGGATCAGAAAAAGAAAGAACATAAGATCCCGATGAACTGGTTTTGGAACGGCGAGCTGCATGGCAAGACTGGCAGTATCTGTATCACTCGATTGAAAGGCTAGCCACAGGAAGCGAGATGTGCTGCGCCGTCTACTCGGTTTTTAGGTCCCCGAGCTGGTAACCATGGGACTCGACGAGCCAATTCTGTTGCACCTTGGACATGTAAACAGCCGGATGTCCCCAATACTGTTGGCTTCCGCTCGCTTTAGATTGGCGAAGGTGCAATGAGTCTCGAGGACATCAGCTCGTGGGTAGAGTCCTGTGATTCGGTGGAACCATTCCTGGGGTTACTATTTACCTCTTTACCGAAGATGCGATAATGCTTAATGGCGCTTCGTGCATGAGACTAGACAGGAGGGTGTATTGAAGTTTGGAATGTTGGAATCTTGGGAAATGACCGTTGACGAGGTTGTGGGCGATTACACGGCGTAATCATATGAAGTACAAACGAAGATTACGTCCTACAACAGCTACAATAAATTAGGATTGCGTACTGTTGTGACTTTCAGGCTTTTCCTTTTCCTTTCCGGATGCAAGTTCCAAGAACCCCGGAATTTCCACACGGCCATACCCGCAGACCACGCACATTACACTGAGTCACTGACTGATGAAGTCAAAATTGACCTGCGCCTTGTGGATAATTTGGATTTCTGTATGTTTTCATTTCCGTATGTTGGCTGAACTTGGCTGTCGCTGTGTTTGTATTGTAAGCACGCATTTGTAGGAGGAGTACGTACGTATACAGTGCGAAAGCTTTCCCGGGTATGCGCATAATTGATTACATAACAAATGTCAGCATTTCCTCTTCTAGATATTCTTGCGAATTACTGTAGATTGCGAACTTTGGTGACAAGCTATTATACAACCATGACGCCGAAGCAACCAATGTTTCTTGATCATATCTACCAGGGTCACAATTCCCTGTCAAAGAAAAAAGGGTGTAATTAACTTTGACGATTGACAGATGGAGGGTGGCACACAGCTATGCAGACAGTTGCAGATATCATATCCAATCGCAAAGTCCTTGGGATGCTGGACGGATGGTACAGGATGAATTCGGTCAAGTATTTACTGGATCGATCTCAAATGGCGAGCATATTGCAATAACCATGTAAAGGTACTTTCAATCCCAAATTGCCTACAGGTCTTAAGACTTTCTTTCTATGCCCGTGCAATAAATTCCCCGATGAACCACTCGACATGCTCTAGTCGGCATGCAGTTGTTTCTTCTGCTGAACATGCAACGGTTCGAAGTTTCGTTGAAAGTGCCTAATTTGGAAACATCAGCGATTTCCTTGACACCCGTTGCAAAGATTGATGTGATGACACTTTGCACTAAGGATACCCATGAATTCCGCTGCCATTTGGTTATTATCCTCGAATATCCTTGAATTCTTTTTCCCTCTTGCCGTGACACCGAGGGTTGCTTGGATCTAGGTTGTTTGAGATCTCTGGTCGTTTCATGAGCTCGAGGGGCTGGCTGGCTCATGGTCGCTCCATGATAAATTGTGGCTTGGATGCTTCGAATCAAAATACTCCGTAAAGCACAAAATGCTGCAAATAAGGAAATTTGCAGAACGGCAAGCATGACAACCTACTAAAGCACGAGAAGGTGGTTATTTTTACATGGCAAATTTGCACTCCCACTCAGCGGGTTCGACTCCCTCACTGCTGAGGAGAATCAGTACGAACTTCCATAAACATGGTGTCTCGGGAAGACAACTCTCGGAGGATTGTACAAATATTGCAATCAGGGTAGGTCTCATCTGAACTTGCCATGGCATCTGTAGCTGTAGCCAGGTATCTATAGCACATTAGCATCACGAGGAGGTTGGCTGCATACTGTTATAATCACATGTCTTAGTGGTTGTCAGAAGGAGATTTCCAGGAAATGATTCGCTTTACTTTTGTGCATTATGCAAAGATGCAAGGTATGCGGCCAAGTGCAGGTACACTTAAGCATGGGTATTTAAATTGATAACTGCATGTAACAAACCCCACAGATCATCGCGATTAAAAGAAAGAGAACTTTGTGCAGTGTAGCCCATTGCGGCTGCCGGGATCTTTAAAAGTTTATAATATCGAAATATATTGAAATAACAACCTTTACAAATGGAGTGGGCTAGGATAAACGCCTAACCATGCACCGTGCCCAACCACAACGATCTCCCTCGGTTGGCAATAATCGAAACATAAGTCAGTAAAATCAAGACTTCGTCATATATATCACATACGCACATCAATGCAGTCATCTAGTCATGTAGCCATCACTTCTGCTGTGGGCGTAGCATTGAACCTGCCAAAAGAACTCAAAGTCATATTCATCCATGCCCGAACCATCCCCGACGCGCCACCATCTCGGAGAGCTCGGAAGTTAACCCTGAAGTGTAGTGGGTATTTTCTACCCTATCCTCAAGAATCCCATCTAGGATTGGAAAATGCCATATTAAGCCCAAGTTGCGAAATTTACACTTGTCAGAAAGTTTCATGATTCAAACTGTGAATAAAACGGATGAATCATAGACGAGCCCCCCCCCCTTCATTCCGGATCTGTCACCTTTCAAGGATAAGACTGGTTGTTCAACGGCCCTCCAGCCGTATAGTATTTTTTTTATTAATTTTCTTTTTATATTTCAAGTAGAAAATTTGCTATGGTTGGTCCCAAGCAGATGGGTCACTCGGGTCAGAAAAAATAACCTGCAAGATCCCATCGTTCTGCATCCTGCAAGTGTTTAGCAGCAGCAATAATGATAGGTCGCATTGCCTTATCCCAAGTTCAAAGATATATTAAAAGGTGGGTATTCGGCGATTCGAATTTCCTCAAATTAACCACTCATCGAGATCTAGGCAGTTCATTTGTCAATCATCGAAACCTTTTTCGGCTCATCACAATGTCCTTGTCCTTGTACAGCTGTCATTCTTCCCTTCTCCTCAGGCCCTAAGATCTCCTCGAAAGACATCAACTCCCGGCGTCGATCATGTCAGTGGTAGAAATAAGCCTGTCAATTTTACCTGAACGTCGTGGCTTGCGAGGGGGGATCGGTAGTAGTTGAAACGGACGGTGAGCAGCTAATCAAACAACTCAAAGTTACTTCCTAGAGCCTGGAATATTACCCTTGAATGTTTTGCCCTATGTATTGCACATTTCAAAGGGTCGTTCGAAAAAGGATTCGATCTCCATGAATTCAGCTTTTAGGTCTCCACATTGCGAATTTTGCTGAAGCTAAAGTTGTGTAATAATGCAAAAAAGACCTCGGTTCAATCGGTCAGTGGCACTATCAAAAAGCAAGACATGTGTGGATTTGTAACCAGCTTTACTTTACTTGAGTCTTATGTCCAGCTAAACTTCATCGGTTGTAATTTGGTTTTTATACATTTATTTCCCTTTCTGAAAGGGATGATTCCTTTCGTTCTAATCTATATGAAGTTAAATTGCAGGAGCGACGGAGCCCAACTTACATCTTCTAGAAACCAAATTAGCATGTTCGTTTGGATGACAGAAGTATTCCACTCTGGAAAGGCATATTTATAGGTTCTATATAAAAAAGTCGAAGTTTCTACAGAAATTCATTTACGTGAGTATGGAATTAGAGTATCTTTTCTCGTATCTTTCCAACCGTGGATTCACAAATTAGTGACTTTGGTGTCAACCTTAACCCGCGGAAAGACACCGAGCCCCAAGTTAACCCCTGTAATTAGCACCTCTTTTTTCGCTAGAACTCTGTTGTAGTCTAAACTTGCGTGCTGCAATTTTAGTAATTCGAAATGTCAACCAATGACAAATTAATAGTCATGAATCAAGCAATATGTCAACTCTAATGTTCTTTGGTAATGTATGGTCTTTGCTATTTGCTCAATCCGTGCAGATTCAGAGTTTCGATTTAGGTAGGTCGAATCAGTCGAGTGCGCCCATCGCTCCTAGAGAGGGGAAGGGCTATTCAAGGTTAATGAAGGATGTATTAATAGAGAGAGACTGGAGATTGTCAGCCACAGGAGGATCCCTACAATTGCAAAGTCGTACGCTGAAATGTGGGAAGACAGGAGGGGAAACACAAGACAAGGCTGATCCCAGAATCATGAATAGATTGCTCAATGCACATACCAACAATCTAGGAAGGCACAGTGAGCACCTACCAGTGGACTGACCAGGTCTAGTATCCACTTGTGACCATCAAAACTGCCAGACTGAATATCATGTCGAAACAAGTCTCCATCAGCTATGAGCTACTGTACCCTGACTTTGCAGCTAAGCAATAAGGAGTAAAAGCACCTCAGACCCATAAACCTCCTTGTTAACTAGTACAGTATATCTATCAATGGGCACTGGGACACTGGAACACGGAAAAAAAAGAACAAAGCATCCATGATGATGTTTTATTCATGCTAACTGATAAACAATTGACCAAATCGCAAGTCTTCCTTCACTCGTCCCCCGATTTTCATCATTCGTTCGGCAACATGCAATAAAGTTGCAGCTTTGGAACATCCCCCTGCTCGGTATTGGGATAACATGGAATGTGTCCACCGGGGAATAGAGCGGCTGCAGTGCTGCACGGTTGAAGAGCGCAAGTGTAAAAAAGACCCCGGCACCGTGACGCTGGCACTTGACTTAGAACCTAGGTAGTAAGATGCAGCTCCTTCCTCCTTTGCGGCGAGCACCATCATTACATCTCACTAACATTTTTTGTCTAGAAATCCGCACTATATAGATTCTTCTACAACACAAAGCCCAACCATACTTTCAAGGGTCTCTTGGTCCCAGTATCATTACTCACAACCCACACCCTTTCAAACCTTCTTTGGAACCTTCCAGGAGAAACGCCACACTAGACCGCTTACTTAGTTACAACCGTTCTTACTCTTTTTTGTTGGATCGACACAAGCATACCTCCATGTAACTCCATCGACGAGGCTATCCTGACATCACCTACCCCCTTCTTTTGCAAAGCACAAGCCTCACGGACATTGGAACCATTTCTGACACTGCGGGTATTCTCTTGTGGGAAACACCCCTGACACTTTGATCTTGTCCTCCCATCCTCTTAGCCTTCCATGGAAATACCATCCCGGCAACTGTGCAGCGGCCCGTTGATCTACTTCTTCAACTAATCTGGTGTACTTAAGAGTCCTCACTCCTCATTACATATATTACAAGTCTAAATCTCTTTTGCATCAATCCGAGGTTAGGTCAGGATTGCCTTTCATCGATCACACCAGAAATCCATATCCGGCCCATCGCAAGAACGCTATTTGGTTCTTTCGTTTTGTGCCAATACCACCATTGAACCTTCCTAGTTGAATCTAAGGATTCCGGAAGTAACGTCACCAATCATTTTTGTTGAAATTTTCGAGATCGGCTTCGAGAGACAGTCCAGTTACCATTGGAAAAACCTTAAGTTAGAATAACCTCCATACAGTCGTTATACCGGAAAAACTATTGCTCGCGGCACTTTTGGATTTGAGCTTTTAGCCTACACCACTTGTAGTGGCCGATCGAGTCTTGGTAAGTCGTCAAACTTGGACATCGCCCCTTCCAACTTCCTTAGTCTCGTTCCTGAGATTTTACGGACTTCCATAAATAAACGACAAAATGGTACTCATCATTGCCAGACTTCCTTCTAGACTTTCTTCAATCTCTAACATCGTTCAACTACCCAACCAACGCACACCCTTGCTGACATTACAAAAGGAACATACAGTCTTTACCTCTCCATATCTACACAGAGCCATATCGGGCAAGTTTGAAATGAACTTTCATGCTCCAGAACAATCTTACGCACAAAACACCAATACACGGGACACATATTCCACCATGGCTGTGGGACCCAATGCATCCTCTGGCTCGGAGTGGCGTGGTCTTGAACCTTTAGAGATGAGGTCAAAACCACGCTTGTCAAATGTTCAGGAATCACTTCCTTCCATCCGAACAGTAAGTGGCATCGAATTTTTTTTATGGACAGAGTTGACCTCCGACTAGGTGTTTTCTGGGTTTGAAAGCCGGGAAAGACCCAGTGAAGCCGAGTACAAACACCATCCGGCACCATTTTCTCCTGTCATAGCAGAAAGAACATACAACACTTCTCCTGAATCAAACAAGAGAAGGGGATCATCCAATGGTCATTATGACGACGAGAACCAGCACCAACGAGAAAGATATCATTCAGTTAGCAGCGGTCGAAGCCCAGTGACAGTGTCCTACCGTTATCATCGTGGAGCTGCATCGCCAGTTCGTTCTATTGCTCGTCGGGAAAGCCTCCGCTCGGTTCCAGACTCTAGGGCCTATTCTAATCACGAGAGCCCTTGCATTTCAAGGCCCACACGAGATCAATCTATCCTCTCAATCCCAGAACGCGGAGCCCCCTCTTCAGACCACAACGTTTCCAGACCACCATTCCATTCTCCAATCTCAGAACCATCGAGTATTATGTACCGTCAAAATCCTCTTTATCTTGCTACACACGATCGATCTTATGATAGATCATACTGCACGATCCCAGCAGGTCGTTCTCACGATGACCCAAGAAGCGAGTATTCATTGGAAGCTTGCCGACCATACCAGCAGCACAACTATGCCCCGACTCATGATACATCATACGCCCCTTCACAATCTGATTATGGCTATCAACAGCCCAGAAACCAGGCTTATCCTGGGCCTCCTTCTTATCAACTCAATCAGGGACAAACCCCTTTCACAGACGGACACCATTCAGGAAACTACAGTTCGACCGCTTACCAAACACAAGATATGGACTCGAAACCCCGAAAGCGACGAGGGAACCTCCCGAAACCTACTACAGATATTTTGACAGCCTGGTTCATCAACCACCTAGAACATCCATATCCAAATGAGGAAGAAAAACAATTATTAATGAGACAAACGGGATTACAATTAAGTAAGTAGCTACGTAAAACAAACTTCATTTTTGCACATTGCTAATAAATTTCACAGACCAAATATCCAACTGGTTCATCAATGCACGTCGACGCAAATTACCTGCACTCCAAAATAGTGCTCGTGCAGAGAACGCTGCCAGGTCCCACCACAACCGAATGCACTCGGCCGATGGTGGACACAGTCCTATGAGTCTCTGCAACAGCGATGCAGGATTAAGCCCTAGAGACGCATCTACATTCAACGAAGGGTGGTCTTCACGGGAGGAGAGACACAACCAGCATCCTTATTAATATATATATATATATTACTCGGGCATTCAAGGCGTATACAAAGACATGACTCAATGCCAGGACCTTGCAATGGGAGGCTAAAAATCACGGAACCTTTTTTTTTTTTTTAAATATTAATTCTCGGACTTTTTTGGACTATTATTATACTTGGATTGGGGGTTTTGGGTTTCTTGCAAACAGAAGGTTGCAGCAACAGAACTTGGCACTATTAGGATATGCATGACATGGGAATTTTTCGATTTGGGGCCGGGCTGCGATGGATACCAAAATTTGCGTTCTTATTCTTTTATTGAGATCAAAATTAGCATGCCGCATAGTGTGGAGTCAATTTCATAACACAGCCTTTTTTTCAATGTCTGTTGTAAATTAGATCGGGGGGCTTTTTTTTAAGCTGAGTTATGAATAACATTCCACAGCTATTGAATGTACTGACTGCATGTAGATGATACTCTCGACAGTGACATTACGGACCCGACCCCAGGAATCGCCTTGATGGTGAGTGAATCCTCGTGCCGTGCCTCCACTTTACAATCATATACTAGGTACTAGATAGGTATATATACAAGGTAAATATACATACTAGATATACATATTAGATAGGCATACATACATACATCCCCACATCATGCGCTTTTACTTGCTCGCTCTAATCTTTCCCTTTTCCACTTTTCTTGATAAATCTGTTTTAGACTCTATTTTATACATATCCCGTCGTACCATATTCCGTGCTGAGCCCACCCATCTTCATCCGTGTCATCCAGGCTCCCGCCTTCAAAGTCGATCACTATGTCGCCAGGACCCATAACTTTGTGTTTCACGGAGGACTTGTATATTTACCGGTTTGCAGCGCCCAGAGGGCCGACATTCATTCCATCGTCCTAGCTCGTCGGATCTTCGCTGTTACTCGGTGGACGTTGGGATTTAGCAGTACCTGTGCGGGTTAGTGTTGGGATCTTTCTTCACATTTAAGAACTCAAATCTCGAACATTCATCATGTATAGAGGAGTCAGTGGGCATGTAACTACATCATACGTCATCAAGTCGGTCAGTCGTGCATGCTTTTAAATAAAATTTTATTGAAACTTCATATGCAAGCCTATGTACTCCATATTATGCCCTGAATTGCCTCAACTCAGGCAGGATAGCAAATGAAAATCTCAACAGAGTAACGAGTTTACTCGTGGCATATGTGAGAAATTACGCCTCACTAGTGGAAAAAATCAACATGCAAAGGGTAAGAGACTCTCCGACTTCCAGACCAGAGCTAGATTCTAAATATCGTGTCATGTTTTTGCAAATTCGTCCCTGCACGAGAATGACATCTGGCAGCGCGTCGTCATCATTTGAAGAAACTGAGGTTTGCCATTCAGACTGGGCTATACATTGACCTAAAATTTAGTCCAATTCACTTGGCAGGGCGAAGAGAAAAAACGTGTTAACAAAGCCATTTTCATCGTCCGTTAGAACGATCGAGGAAAATGTAAGATCATGCCGCTAACAGCACTTGACAGGCGCCACCATTCTTTTTCACAGAGTAACTATCCAGTTACGATCTTCAGACTTGCCGTGCCTGGAAGCCATAAGGCATAAATAATGAGACTAAACTCGGTCCGACTCCTGGAGTCGTGTTGAAGAGAACAAACTTTAGTCGCTGGAGTAAGTCATGTTTGGTGATATTGTGAGGTGGTGGGGGGAACGCTGGTATCATAGTTAAGTGGAAAAATCTTAGGCTAGCTGGTTCGAATTTAATAATTATGGAGCCAGCGATACCAAGAAGCATGGCAAAGTTGTTTCCCGCCCAACGTTTGCGGTCAACTCAAACTCGTTTTCTTTTCGTTTTCGGAGATTTGCAGCCAAGAAACGTTTAGCACTTTGGTCCATTATGTCGAGATGCCCTCACATGCCATGTCAATGTGTCAAAACCATGCCGTTCTGAATTATCTTGACACTATTGGGAAAACATCCTGTTGATCTCTACTTGTTCTTGACACCTCCGGTGGCAGCCGCCACTAATAGATGCATTCCATGGGCAGTCACTTGACATCTACTCCATATACTTTTCCGCTTTCGTCTCGACTCTCGTTCACTTAACAAGGTTTTACTTGGAGACCCGGAGCCTAATACTGTCGGGACTCGATGTAGATCAACCTACTTTGTATTGATTTGGACATCCAAGGTTCCCTGTTTCAAAGCCAGCATGACCATGACCATGACATTCGGTGGTGAGCTTGATATCGACTTAGTCAAAGGGCTTTCTCCTTCCTAGCAGATAATCAGCCCCTACAAATGCCAGGAATCCAGACCGCTCAGCACCATTGATAGCCATGATGATCAACTGAATCATCCATGATCATTAAAGGGTGGTATTGCGACGCTGGCAGCTAATCCCGGTGCTTGCCATGGCCCCAACACTATCTGTTTATCATAGCAGCTGGCCACCTATTGAGCTTCGATTTTACTGTAAGGTTCCAGGCAAATCAATGTGCAGTAGACAGGCATGTATGCACACTATTGGCACAAAGCCAAATTATCTAACACAAAATTTCATGGCCAAAATATTGGGGATTCCCACTGGGGCATTGGTTGATTACGCATATCCTCGTTGCTTGTCCTCTGTCCAATGGACACAATGCAAACGGGGATCAATATGAGGGGAAAAGAGAAAGAAAGGAGGAAAGAATTGTTTTGGCAGAGAACGAAATAAGCTTTACCACAAATAGCATGCCCCCTGCGCGCATCAATCTTATCAAAAGTCAAATCAATCCCCGTCAATCAGGTAAAAGTGGAAAATATCTGAAAGACCCACTGAATCGATCAAGGGTCTCCCATCAAATAACGCCCCCTCTCGTCTCGAATTTCTCTTTTCGGTGGGCACCACACGGACACGCAAGCGCCTTTGTCCGCATAGCATGCAACTCGTACGTTTTCGTGGGAGTAAAAACCTGATTGGGATTTATGCGAAATCTTCGTTTTGGAAATTGGCTGCAACCAAACGGGTCGTACAGGGTGAGTGAGTATACGACGCGAAGCTCTGTGCCGCTGTCTCGGATCATCTTTTCATATTTTAATGATCATGCTGGTAATTCAAGCATCGACAAACGTGATGAAGATCTTCGATAGATGATAATAGGTGATCCCTTACCGAGTAGAAGGTCCGGGTGTATTGCTCCACCTGCTGGAGGCGGCTGAGGTTGGCAATGGAATCGGTGGATAATTCTAATATGGACATATCGGCAGATGCTGACACTGAAAGGGAAGTTGCTTCGGACTATTGAGTATGAAGCTCCGACTGTTGAACTTTGATTGGCTGGGGTGCAAATGACGGATATAGCCTTATGCTGAGTTAACAGGATGCCTTGTCTGTATGTAACTAAAAATGCCATTATTATTGAAGACGGGATGAAATGACAAAAGCGATAGTTTTGATTCTCCCATTTTGTAACGCGGCGATCGGAGGAGCAAAGAAGCTTTCTACTTTCTTTCTTCGCAAGACTCACTGCCTTGGGCCAATGATAACGTAACAAATGGTGATCTCCTAATTGTGTAATGTTCCCATCTGAACACGCTGACAAAGAGCATGAAGATATATATCACTCCTTTTGCAACATGGTGTAGGAAGATCTCGAGTGAGGGCTTCAAGCCCCACGTAACGGGTCGGGTGGACATCGAATGAACTTGGAAGCCCAGGTCAAGACTTGTGGCAGTGCACATCTTCGTGGGCCGCAGCACTCCAATTAGTTTGGAGGAATAATTGACGTTATCAATCTGTATGAAACCATTTATTCCAGAAGTCTAGAATAAAAATACGAGGTGCAAGAGCCGCCATTAGTGAGGGACGCTGTACTTTGCTTGAAATCAGCGGTTTAGAAAGTCTAGGAAGGGGAAACTAAGTGCAGCCGTTAGAAATAGGACAGAAATTAAGAGTTATCATGGGCCGTTTACTTTCTTCGAAACCAGCTCTGGCTATACAGACCCACGAGAATGGAGATATTGAATGAGGATTCATCCTACCAAGAAGTGGTAGGGACAAGCATCGAATTTGTTTATGCCATCTGCAAGGTTGGTGTGTTGCTAATTAGGATTTCCCATACACGGAATGAATTTCTTCCTTCCACGGTCGAGTTCCGCATATATGATTATGGCGTTTGAATGATCTGATGTTGTCTCTCTCTCTGGGTGTTGCTATGTTGTTGAGAGGTAAGAATAACAAAATTTTCCTTTACGTGGGAGGCGGGGTGTCAAAGTGATAGGAAAGAACGTGCAACATCGACACTATTGATATATAAAAGACAGAAAAAGAAGGAATCGAATTGTAATACAAGTAAAACCAAAAAAAGAAGAAGAAAAGGAAAAGACATTTCATCTGTTAGTGATTTCGATCAATTTAATCTGATCTAGCATCGGGGAAGAAAATGTTGTAAAAAATTAGTAACCTTGACGACATTCTTGACCTCCGAAATTTCTCTAAGATATTTGAACATCAAAGTTCGATTCTGAATCAGCAATGAAATAACTATTCCGCCAGTAGATATTCAGATTTCATTCTTTATTTCATATCTTATTTTGCTCATATTCTTTACGGTTATTGAGAATTAAAAGGTATGGAGTTTTCTGTGATGTTGTTATATGATGTTCAAAATGGTCTTTCAAAGAGCGTGCGACATGCAACAAAACAATAAAACTTCGCTCAATGAATCCGTTCCCATCCATCAACTTTCGAGTTAGACACACAATTTTCAATTCAAAATTATGTTATAAATCAACCACTAAAAATGTCTGGTTATCTTAGTGATAAATCGATACTTCAGCGTATTTCCTCTTCATATCTAGAATTTCAAGAAAGTCTGTACCTTGGGAATAATATGACATGGTTTCCAAAACAAGGTCTCGGGGAAGTGCTGAAAAAGTGCAATGTGCAACAAAACCTGGTTCAAGATCTCTATGTAATTCAAATCTGAGGTAACCTATCAAAACCACAATTCTCAAATCGAAATTTTATATTAAATCAACAACGCATTATTTACATTCAAATCTTCTATTGAAATGTATTTTTGCTTCTATAGTGTCTATATACCAGTTTTCAAATTATTCAATAGAATTATTTCTTCCCTGTCTACCTCAGATCTTTTGAATGCCTTCTAGTATCATGGATTCTCTTACTCTGCGGCTTTCTATCTCTTCTAATTTATCCCCAGAAGGTTACTGCCGGAGTAAATATCGTCTCGGTGTCTTGAAAGGCAGCTGCGCTGCATGTGAGACGTATCATCTTCATCTCAGAATTTGGCTTTACTATTTCTCCCAATCCTTCTCCATTCTCATCATTATCTCTGCTCATCTTAGTTTGTCCATACTATATCGATAGTTCTATATCAGCAATTAGTTCAACGAATTCAAACCAATCCAAGTTATCCAAATTGCTCGTTTCCTATGGAAACTAGCCTATGGTATACAGACCCATCTTGTCTTCCTTCTTCGAAATAGGTACCTCACCCTTGACTCAATCTCACAAGCCTCAATTTCCAATATCCTCACGGCTAGGCTATGGAAATCCAATCCCTACCCCCTCTCCTTTTCCCTTCCCCTCCTCCCCTCTCTTTTCGATACATCAAAGTACCACTCTCCTGCCGGATTACACTTTTCTTCTTTCTGCTATTCTCCCCAAATATACTCTTTCGTAGCATCATTAGACCCACAATGCAATATTTCAAGTCATCAGTAGCCGACAATCCCTTCACCAATCATTGTTCCCTTGAAACGAGCTCTTCGCTCGTCGAACTCTTAATATACTCTCAGACGAGGTGGCTCAATGTACTTCTTTCATTTCATATGCATTTGATTTTTCCTGTCTCTTTAGCTTGGCGGGCCATCCTATTGTGTAGATTAGTCCCGACGTTTCCAACAACAGATACAAATAGACTAGCGAGGGTTGATCCGGCGCATCGAAGTCTTCTTGACGTTGGCTCAAACCGCCTATTTATTTTTCCCGCTGAATATTATTGTTCCACAAGACATTCTCCTCTTATACTAGCAACAATAATACTGGTTGCAAGATGACCTCAGATGGAGATTATTTTCAGCTGTGCTCAGCGGATCAGATATAGGCTGCGCAAAAATAACCCGCGGATTGCGGATATCCGCAAATAATCCGCTCCGCAGGTTACCCATTAGGATTTTAAAATAACTCGTACTGTATAGGTTATTTGCGGATTATCTATAGATAATCTGCTAATTCATAATTAGATATAATTTATAAAGATTGATATAAAAATTAATATAAAAAATATAGGAATAACTTCAAAAATTTAAGCGAATATCATTTGCGAATAATCCACAAATAATCTATAAATAATTTGCAACTAATCTACCTACCCATGGATTGATGAATTATCCATAAATTAATGGATATCTGTAAATAAACCGTAAATTATTTGCAGTTTATCTATTCAAATTCTTCAATTACCCGTTCTGCAAATAGATCATCTGCAGGTTACTCTCCAAGGGCAATAATCCGCCCCGCGAAGCCCTGTTGCGCAGCCTAATCAGATATGAGAATAATGCTTGTGATGTTCGCTTTACTCATTCATTGCAGTAAAACTGTTGTTTGAGGATCAAGGACTAGCCGAGTAGGAGGAGATTTAGAGCGGATATAATAAGTCCCCTACCCCACAATCCGACCACCCCCCCATTCCGACTATATCATAAATTACACCGCTTCAATAATTTTTAAACTTCAATAACTCAACAACCATTCAATCAATTGATCTGAAATTTTGAAATTATCTTAATTACTTTATAATGAAATCATATACCGAAATGAGATTATATTAGTGTCACGTGATTTCA